ATTACCAAAGAATATAAACATTCTTCAATGCCGTTTTAAAAAATACATGATCCATTAATATTGCTGAGTTTCTATACAAATGTTTGATATATCAGTTTAGTATATAATTAAACTCTTCCTCTACTCCATTTCCATAGATCTTGTTTTGTCTCTAAAATATGGTTTGAGAGTCTGCAAATTTTCAATCACATTCAATTCTACGCTTCTAGGATGTCAGTCTTTATGTCTTTTAATTTTGTTCCGTCTCAAAATGCTCCTATTAGACGTAGGTGTAGGACTTTGGTACAGGTTTTTAGTCATGTAGTCTTCGTACATCTTTATGGCTCTGCTTTTGAGAATTCAACAGATGAACATCAATGCCTTTTTTGCTTGTTGGCTATTGGTATTTAATCATGATAAACTAAATATGAAAAAGGTGATAAAACAATATAATATCGATTTAACTAGACTGTACGCGCTTTACTTACTATTGTCAAATAATGGGATAATTAGCTATACAGTTTGGACACTTTAAAAGCCTACTTTTGTAGATTGCTAACTCGTAAATGACACCTGATAAAAAGAATATTGTTGAGTGAAAAATGAAAAGAATATCCCATGAAACATGGAAAAAAAGAACAAACGAACTTATGTAAATCCTCGGGAAATTAGGTTGATCTTTCTTTTGTTGGAACAGCCAATTGTTGCTTGAAACTATCCCTGTTTTTATACAATTATTAAACAGCAGACATTTCCATTTACTAGAACTTATGTTGATCCGTGAACGATACTTCCCTTTGCATCCTTGTAAAAGTTTCTTGTTAGGTTGTTTTTTTTGCTTATTTCAGTAGGTTTCATTAAAGATATTCGAGTAAAGCATCTTCTTGTTATGTCAGATGCGAACACGTATTTATCTTTTTAGATATAAGAGAAATAATAATAACTTTATTGCCACAACATATATGAGGAAAGTTTCGTATTTTCTTTTTCGTATAATCTTACACGAGAAACGGAAATACGTCATGTGTTTTGATATTTTTTATGCACGAAATATTTTTTTGATAAGTTTGTGTTGAAGTGTTATAAAAGCGAAATTCTTCAACATTGTAATTCTTTTAGGAAATTTACAATAAGGAAACTTATTGATCGTCTTGCCAGATTTCTATATTGAGCGAAAATGAATGAAGTAACATTGCATTATGAAGAAATATAGCCGAATATCTTTAAGAGGCCAAAACTGATCTTTTAAGCGTTTATAAGGAAGAAGGTTGTTAAGAAGAGTCAGTAAAGAATTATCCATGCCAGATGATAGGTTTTTATTTCAATTTTTGGTAATTTTTCAAGGAAAGAGTAAAACGTTCTTTCTTCCATGTTCTTTTATTCTAGTTGTAGAAAACATTTCAGGTATTAATATCGCTGGGAGATTGATTAAACAGATAGTTTATGAATTATAAGGAATTTTATTCAATTCTAATAAACAGACAGATTCAGAAAGTTTGAAATATGACATTTAAGGTACTTCTTTCATTTCGGAATAACAAATTCTTAACTTAATTTAATAATTAATGCCAAACATAATAGATATATTAATATTTATAGTCATAAATAAAAAAGAACAAATTTATAAGAATTAAACAAAACTTCCACTAAATGATTCTTAATAGATAATATCTAAGAACTTTTATTAACTTCTTTGTTCTTTTTGGTAAGTCCTGATTTTTTCGTTAATCTCCGCTTTATTATAGAGCTTCTCAAGCCATGTTTGATGAGAATTTTCTTTGCAGATGATAAGCTAAATTTATCACGAACATTCCATTCGCTGTAACTTTGTTTGGCTGAATAATGAGGATGTTTCTTCTGAATTGAGATTAAATTTATTTCGTCATACTCAGAAATTCTCTTAGGACGTCCAATTCGAGGTCTGTCAAGAACGAAACTAAACTTGTTATACTTCTTTAAATTATATTGCACACTTCCTCTTGATATGCCAAGTTTCTTAGAGATTGCTGTTTGAGTGAATCCCTTTTCAGTCAATGAAACTATCTCTGCTCTCTTCTCTGTTGAAATTTTAGCCATTTTTTCCTGCGTTTTACTAATTGTGCAGATACAACTCTCAATGTTCTTTATTAACTACTCATTAACATCACAAATTAGAAATCTGGTTACTATTCCAAAATAATTAAAATTACAATATTGGTCTGGAGGTGATAAAAATGTATTTAAAAATACGTAATATGTTATTAATATTAGATAAATGTTTCCATACAGAATAAGCATTAAACAGACATAGAATTGTGCCTATAACAGATGTAATGTTTGTTATTCTATGATTATTATTTTGTAGATCATTGCAACCGCTGAGAAATCTTTTGTCAAAGATATAATTGATTTTCTTTTGTCTTCTAGCATAGTTTATACTAATATAATGAAAAATATTTTCTAGGTTTATCGAATCAATTACATAAGGAATGATTAGAAAAGATAAATAGCTCGTTTTCTCCCTCAGAGGCGAATGGACTGTAGATTGTAGAAGAAAGAAAAGAAATACCGTAGACACAATAGCTGCTATCCTCAAAAAGTGATTGTGATGACGATTGTAAATTTTCTATTTCAGATTTCAGACAAGAGAGATGAAAACGGCGAATATCATCATTAAATTTTTAAGAAAAAATGCTAAATCGATCCTTAGAGTTTGAATGGACTTCACAACTCAACTACTTGTAAGGACTACTACCGAATCGACATTGTCATTATCAGATGAAAAGAAGTCATGTAAGTAATGATAAAATATGAGAAAAAAGAAAAGTTATCCTGTAAATTTGAAGCAACTGTTTTAATTTGCAAAATATATAAAAAATTAAATGAAACAAGAAAATTGTACTCTTTTATTTATAATAAGTGTAATGTTCTAATGTTTCAAGAATAAGGATGAACGGTAATCAGTTAATAATAAAAGGTATTTTAATTTCTTATTTTATTGATATTAATAATAATAATAATAATAATAATAATAATAATAATAATAATAATAGTAATATAGTTTTTTATTCGATTCTGCCAGAGACGGTCTTTTCTTTTTGAACTAAACTTTCAAATTTATTTGTTTTAATTTCATTTTTCAGCTATCTCCTCGATGTTCGAATGAAACTGCAATCTATCTTGAAATTAATCGAATATGTAGACCTCTTTCAGGAGAAAGGTAAACAATCTTATTAATTAATTTACATGTTATTAAATCTTTCATTAAAATATTCCTGAAAGGTTACTACTTAGGTGATTTTAAGAATTCAGCCTATTATAATTCTTTTGGAAAACTTTATTATTATAAAATATTCGATATACATATACAGTACAATCAAGAAATCATCTACAAGAAAAAAAAACTGCAAAGTCGCAAGACTCAGTAGATTTGAACATTTTAATATAATTCTGATATTTGTTTTGAATAATTTGGTGCCCTTATGTGTATATATAATATGTACACATTATGCGTATATTCTACTGCATTCAATAGCCAGAAACGGAAGTGTGTCATCTGCTTCAGTTCAAGATGGCCGACGATTTTAGAAATGTTAAAAAACTTAATACCATATCAAGCAGAACTAGATGAAATACGAAATACAAAAGGTATAATAAAGCCAATGGTAATTTTGTTGCAATTTCTATATGTAAACTTCTTAATTACTACGATAAAACTGAAGAATGTACACCTTTTTTATACTTTTCTGTATGGTAATTATTATGTTCAAAGTGTTATATGAGGAGTCTATTAAATCAACTATTTCAGAGTTTAAAAACTAAAAATTTCCTGTATAATGTTGGTTATCAACATTCTATTCAATAATTTATCATCTTTCCTCACAAATATCTCCATCAAAAAACAGATAGCGTGAGCTCAGACAAACAACCAGTTTGAATCAGTGATGTACAAAGACAACTTCTAAAAACTTTCTGCTTGTGCGTAAAAGTCTTCATTGGAAGTAATACGATTAAAACTAGATTTCGAACTCGAATCTCTTATAAAGACCAGATGATTTTAGGGGGGATACAAACATAAATGAAAGATTACAGAGAGAAATGATTTAAGATGATGCCAAAAATATTAATTTTTTCTTGCTTATATTTTATGCCATTTTATTTGTTTTAACTCTCTTAAAAGTTTATAGCTTGGTACTCGTTCTTGATAACATTTATTCGCATCATTTCAATATTCATAGTTTATATAATGCCGACTAATACATAATTTTCCAGTAGTTGTATATGATGAAAATTATTGCAGTGGGAAGATATTAAGAATCCAGCTTCTATCGCCGAATTCAAGATGTTTTACGTTATTATCCACTTTGATTCTGAAGAGGAACGATAAAAGTGTGAATGCTTTCCTAGACAAGTATCATCAGTATCACCACAAATATTGGAAGGCAAATTTTATCTACATTTAAAATTTTCTTTCAATATTTGAAATGAAGCTGACTTCATTCAACTATGGAAAGCTTATTTAAATCTTTCGTATATAGTCTTTTTACCAAATAAATATTACAGCTCGCAGAATTTACAAAGACTTACTAACTTATCGTGAATCCTAATCTTAATATTTAATAAATAAATTCGTATGGACATTTATTCGGTCTTGTTGGAAGTTGACTAATAAGAATTTAAATGAGAAAATTTGAATATTAATTTTTCTAGGCTGTTTGAAAATGCTCTTGATTGCAGGCTCTATAAGAGTCTGTTATTCTTACGAGCCGAGGATAATGAATAGCGATCATTTGGATTTAAACGAAAGAGCGATTTACATTTGTTATTAATGGGAGAGTGACTTTTTAAGAGATAGAAATGATATCTTCTTTCCTACAAACATACAAGAGTGGTTCGATTAATATTCCCATAAAAGGTCCACGTAATATCAGAAATTGTCTGAATGCCGATACTAATACAAGCCCAGTGTCAGTCATCAATCGTTATCAAAATTTATGAGCAAAACATAAACAATAACTTAATTTCAAATTTTTACAGCATTATTAAGCTCCGTCATCCTTCGATCCCTTCTTTTTATTCGCTGTTGTCACTTTCAAATTTGCTTTGGTCAATTTCTCAATTTCAATTCCCATGCGAAGAGCCATCTCATCCTTGCGAAAGCAGGGGCATTTTCTAAGTTCTGTGGTTTTCTGAAGGTTGAAATGTAATTTAATTAATTTAAATTGGATTATGAAAGTTTTTAAACATGTTCATAAGTATACCTCATCACTGCCCATATTGCGCAGATAACTATCGTCATTAAGTACCTGCAGCCTTGGTATTCCGCGCTCACTAGCTTGCTTGGCTGCTCGGGTTGCTTCTGCTAGCTGTTGTTGATAGGCTGCTTCTTTCTTTGTTTGTCCTGACACGTTATATTTCGCTTGTCGTTTAAAAGGATTGCCACCGGTAGTCGACTTGACTGCTGTATATGAACAAGATGGATCGACGTAAACGGGTTTCGCCTCGGCAGCTTTCTGCATGCCTTTTGTACCATTTTTTAGAAGTTCTTCAGGAGGTACCTGGGATACAAAAGTGGAAACGTCTGTTATAACGTCTCGTTCTAAAATTTTCCCCTCCTTGTTAGCTTCAGTATGATTCTCCAGTTCGCGTTGGCGTTCATCCCTCGTTTCGCAGGAATTCATGCGACGAAATTTCAAGCAAGAGCTTTTCGGAGTTGTCTCTGCAGACTCGGTGCTCCTTCAAACGAAGAATTATTGATATAGTTTTAATAAACATTAAAGATTATAAGTATTCAAAGCATCTTACCATGAATTAACATAGCGTCCAGGTTTACGGGTACCGTTGAAAGAATAGTTTGGCATTTTGCTGCGTTTTAGTAGATCGTTTAGTCGATGAACAATTGTCAGACCGCTAAAGAGAAGTGACGTGTCAAACATTTTCGGTGGCGTTTTTATAGGATTTTTTAGAGTAGTAACTCAATTATTGCTAAACAACTCAAAAACAACCTCAAAAATGACTAAGAGTAATCTGCAAAAAACTCGCACTCAACTGCAAATAATAATAATAATGAGTTCTTTTGTCAAATGTTTAAGTTTATTCGCTTGAAAGAGAACTTTATCACACGTAACACAATTTTATCAAACGATAAGATTATTTGATTGTTCTGTTTCTTAGCCATTAAATTGAATTGAACTGATACCTAAGCTTGTAGAAGCGGGTACGTTTCCTTCTCTGCTCGTTCGAAACGGAACCTAATCAAAACGATTATATCGTAAGAATTAGTTGAAAAATCCAACTTGCTGACTTTTATCGCTTACCCTGTTCAAGTCAATACTATTATTATTAGGAGACTCTTGTTGTTCTCCAAGATCGTTCGTTTGTCTTTGAGATCTTTCGAATATGTTACTTCTGACTCTCTCTTCACTGACAACACCACTTCTATTAGCATTGGCGTAAGAGAGGCTGGATCCTCTTCCACCAGCAGCAAAGCTGTAGTGTCTCAAATTCCTAGAATAAGAATAAAATCTATTCAAATGAATCTCTCTTCTGGAAAAATAATGGGCTCTGGCACCGGTCAAATACGATCCAGGGTTGTTTCCTGGATTATCCCTTCTTCGAAAAATTTCGTTAACAGATCCAGTTTCACCATTGCGAGATGTCCTATTCAAAGAGATCTCTCTTCTGGCATAACATTGAGTTCTGTTACAGGCCGAAGATGATCCAGGGCTGTTTCCTGAATTACTTACTCTCTGAGCATTTGCGTTAGAGGAATTGCGAAATGAGACACTTCGAAATTCTAAACGAAAATGGCCATCAATATTCTCCGAAGAATTATTCCTAAATAAAGCATGAATATTAATTTATTTCTACAACATATTTTTGTAAATATTAATATATTTACAATGAAGTATAAACTCCTGTCCTTACGCTTTTATAAGCTGTGTGATCGGACATAGCGATAAATCGTGCGCTTTTCGTTCAAAGGATAAGAACAAGCTGAAGATTTCCTGAACATCACGTGACCAAATTCAGACGAGATCGAGACCGTTTCGAATTTCTACATAAAATTCTTTTATTCATGCTTTTAAGCCTTCTCTTATTAATATAATTTTTTTGTATAAGCAATCATTGAATAGATATTCTATTGTATTTTGGGTATACCCTAAATCTTATCATTATTGTGTAAAAAAATAATAATAGATAAGACAACTAATCGTACTATCTTCTCCTAAATAACGAAAATGCTTCGTTCGACTTTATTGTTAGTAAACTTCCGAATCTCATTCCCAATGAATGAAGATAAATCAAAAGAGGGGTTTATACACAGTCAAACATTTTTCCATATGTATTATATCTACAAAAAATTCTTCAAATTATCTGACATTTACAAGAATAAATTCTTAATCAACAAAATGCTCTTAAGACATTTATTAACATATAACTCGTCATATGACTTGAAATTTCGAATAGAAGAATAGTTATGAAGATTTTTCTCTTTAAGATTTGCTGAAAAGATAGATTTTAATTATCAGCTATTAATTACACATTTAAAATCGAACCTATTATGCATGATACATTGAATGCGCCATTTCACTTGATCTTTCATATTTGGCTCCATTTTCTTAAGTTCAGTATACACAAATCTAACAAAAGCTTCATCTTCATCGATATCCATATTAGTGTCGCGAACAATCTTAATAAGATTATGTAGTCTGTAAAAAATGAAAATTATGAAGTCTGTTTATCGTTTTTATATATAAAACAATAAAATCCTACTACTACTATTAATTTTTATTGTGTTACTAATTGGGTTCATTGTTGTCTGATAGTATTTTTTCTAAGAAAATGAATACTTATATTACGTTTCAAATTGATCAGAGTTCTCCAATTTTATCTTCTTTTGGGGTGGAGGAGCGTTCACAACTGCAGATGGTGCAGATTCCCGATTAGGACTTGACGGAGGCGATTCATAATCACTGAAATAGAGTCAAAAAGTAAAAGTATCTAAAAATCAACAGCAAACGACTTACTCAAGATCAATTGTCTCTATTGCAGACTCGGAAGCTCCAGGATATTCTCTTTTCGTCGAGAATTTGTCCGGACTCGAGATAGCTGAAGCCCCCCCCTGGTTGAATGACAATATAATAACATTCTATAATTATAAGAAAATTCTTACGCTATCGGGAGTTAAGAAGCTAAAATTGTCGATGAACTTCAATTCGCTTCTTGATAATTTTTGTGGTCCCACTAGAGATTCTCTCACTCTTGCCGTCAAATCAATCATTGTTTCTTTCAATGTGCTAAAAATTTCTCTTACTTCGTCACCTCGAAGCCCAACTTCCAGACCCAAATTGCTCCATATCTTTGAAGAGCTTGTAATTTTATGAAAACGTGGATGGCCTCTATCATACAACTCCGGGGCTTCCTTAAACAAGTCAACTAATCTTGTCCTTTGATCATCATCAAGGCCGCTCATGACATTATCATTTTCATACATCGTTCCCAAGTGTATCGGATTCTTGCACGTGGTAAAATGAAACGGATTCAAATTCAAATCAATATGTATCTTCGTATAAAAAAAATATGAATCATTTACCATTAATAAAAATTATTCTGTACATTTTAGTAAGAAAAATATTTTATTCAGCAAATAATTATTTGAAGGAGATATTATGTTCGTAAAAAAGAATATAAAAAATGGCGCCATACGGTTGAAAATAATTTACATTTAAGTAAAAATATGACCCGTTAAATGTATTTAAAGAAATCTAATACAGCAGAATATACAAAATATAAAAATTAACAGCTACATTTTAGTTTTACAACTTAGATTATGCTCTTAATAACTGTTGTTTAAAGCGAAATATAACGGGAAGTCAATCTTCAAATGATGAAGATGCAGTGATAGCGCCTAAAACAATACAATAGTTAACTACGAGATATTATCATAGGTAAACAAGAATTTGTTTCATTTTCATTTAATTATCCCTTCTATTTAATGTATTGAATAACTCATTTACGTAAAAATGTAGGTGTTACTAATTTGAAAATTCTTTTTCGAATTTTTGGTACCGAATTCCATCATTCATCCAAGTCGGATATCCGGTTCCATTATGTTCGGCACATACAGACCGTTACTTTAGAGGGGTTTTCGTTGGGAAAACCGGAAACCCTTCTAAAGTACGTATAAACTATATATAGTGGTTGAACCGTTAAAATTTTGCGTATAACTTATTTTTAATTTTGTTTTCATGTTAGATTACTGGCTGAGTTTCTAGAGTCTGGAAACACAGGAACTCTCTCAATTCTTCAGAAGAGAAAGACATTGAGAGACATTACGTCTAATTATAAGGGTCCGCAGTAAAATGCAGCTTCCAGACTGCCTGAACGTATTCTACAGCGTGCAGAGCATTTCCAGATATGAATTACAGGAGAGAGAGAGAGAGAGAGAGAGAGAGAGAGATTCATTTAGAAAAGTCATTACAGATGAACAAATATACGTGTGAAGTCTCCAAAGTTTACCTGGCTCAAAAGTCTTGAAATGAAAGTATACAATTAAACTTTTAATAGTTTGTCAACTGCAAATACTATATTGTATGAACATAGACGTCAGATTTTATAGGAGCTTTGCTTATGTTTAAATTAAGAATTCTTAATCGCTGTTTCACATTGTTTACTGTTCATATTTATTATTGTCATAATAATACAAGAACTAAACCAAAAAAAAGCTCTAATAAGACAATTTGAAATTAACAGAAAGTAGCTAAGTAAATACTTTACTGAACAGACCTTCTTTAATTTTATTTTCTTGTAAATCCTTTTTCACGCTGTACAAAGCTGACAGCAAATCCTCTCTACGTTCGCAATCCATTAAATTCTTTTCTAAAAACTGTATGGTCTCGAAACATTCATAATCTTCAATACTTGCCGTCACCTCAGTATTCTCCTTTTCAAGTTCTTCTCGTCTTTTAATCTTTTTTTTTCTTTTTGCCGCTTTAGCCCTTCTTATCTTCTGTTTAGTTTTTCTTCTTTCCCACCATATTTGTTCAATAATATCTTCATTCAAGTCAAAGTCTCGCGACAATTCCCTAACAGTTTGGCCATCCTCTAGACTCTGGATAATGTCGAGTTTAGTACATAATCTAACGATCGGTTCTTCGTTTTCCATTTTTCAACAGCCACGAGATTTTATGTATAGAATACCAGTTTATATTTATTATTTTACTTTTGAAAAACAGGCTCAATTAACCAATTATGGACAAGATCACGGTATCCCTAATCCTGATAATACTTAATATAAATGTTATATTATCGTCCTAGTATAATGAATATTCTATGACCTGAAAATCTTCGTTAACATTTCTAAAGTGTGAAAAATTGCGAAATATATCTTAATATATACAAGATCAACATATTTCTGTTATCCCTAAGAGTAACGGTTTGTAAAATTATCCTTTTTCAGATAGATACCACTTATCCTATCTAAACAATTGTATTATTAATATTCAGTATTATAATACGTTGATCTTATTTCTTCTGTATTCCTTTTTTTTACAGTCATCCCAGCTAAATTTTAAGTTATCGACAGTATACCTTCGTTTTGGCCTTGAAAACTTTTCTCTTCTCATCCTCAATTGAAGTATCTTTCATGTAGATTGGATGGAATTTGTCTTGTAATCATTATCAACATCTTTATGAAACGATGGGATAGTATCACATGCGAATTTTTTTTATCATATATCGCCTCTTTAAGATGGTTTACATAGGGATTTTTATTAAGTATTTGTCAATAAATTCAAGTAACAAATGGGATAAATACAATGACTTTTGTCTACAACTATTCAATATATGATAATGAGAATAAAAATTTGCATAAATTTCTTAAATTACATTTGATTCTTCGAATGGAATCTTTTTTTCTCTTCGACGAGTAATCTATGAATTTTCAACTTAACCTCATCTTTTAAAAATCCGTCCAACTTTCTAAATTCTAGATAGAGAAATTCGGCAAATATCCTATCATTATCCTGCTCCTTATATCCCTTTTCTGATGAGCTAGTGTTATCGTTATGCCTATAGAAGAATTACATATGTAAATATAAACGTTAATAAGGATCTACACAGTAAATATTTACAATTTGTCTGATTCCATTTTTCCCTTTGTGCTATTCATAACAACAAGATCGTTTTCATCGCCTGAATTATCATCTAAAGGTGTAGCTGAAGCTGTATGATCAATTTCATATGTGGGTTCATCAAACTTATAATCCAGAGTTAACCTTATTAATCGGAAAAATGAATGAAATTAATATTAAGACAGAGTTTTATTAAAAAGAGAACTTATCATCATAGGCGAAATCTTCAGGAGTATAATTTTCTTCAGTAATACTCAGATCAGGAACATTTACTATAACTTTTTTATTATTCGGGTCGGGCTGAAATTTTATAAAAAGTTTTCTTTTAAAAAAAAAAGAATTAAATTTTAAAACGAACCTGCGACATTAAAAATGTCATTAGTGGAAAGAATTTCCATTCGGATTGCTTATTATTTTGCTTTTGCCTCCTTAAAATTCTAAAAAAGCTTGATCTCAATTTGTAATATTCACTTTTCACTATTTCAACATCTACGTCTAATGTCTCTGCTATAATGCTCCAATATATCTGCTTGTCATTCACTTTTTTGTAGTCAGTATGTTTTATGTCCCACAATCTTGGGTTATTTTCGACCAACCGTATTAATAATACTTTCCTTTCGTCATCCATGTCAGGGGATATCGAGGTGGATTTTTTAAATAACAATGCCACGTGTCATAAAGAAAGCGAAACATTCTTTTATTTTAAAGGTCATGGTCGAGGAACACTTGGGCGAATGTTTCAAAATTTCCTTTTCCTATAAGGTATTTAACAATTATTTAATAAATAATCTTTTGAAAATATCGTAATTGGCACATAAAGAATTGTCTGTTAGCATTTTTGAAAGGGTAGAACACATAATAGCTATATAAATTATATCGTTGTTGAATTATCGCTCATTTTAAACATGTCAATAAGAAACATTATATTAAATCTTTATTTATCGTAAATTATTAGATATGTAAGAGAAAATACTTTAAGACCACATTAATTATATTATAAATAAAAGACTTTCTAATAGTTAACAGTTAGTTTTTCAAACTTTAAATATTTTTATTTTCAGCTCCTTCAACAACTGGAGGAAAAACATCAGAAATTTAGATAGAAAGTTCCTTGATCTGTTGAAGTTTGAGAAGCTAGATTATGCATTTCAAGTTGAAAATAAATATTTACAAGCGAAACTGACAAGACACTTGAAAAAAGGGATTTTGGCGAATTGTATTACCCATTTTTAGAGAAGAAACGATATCGTTATACTACCCTCGTCGGAAGCTAATATAACTATATCATATTACCCTTAAAAAAGATGGCAGAGGATGCTCAAGACAACAGTATTCAAGGGGAAATCTACTTTCGATGTAAAATTTATATGTATAAGCAAAATTGACTGGAAAATAAACTATCTGCAAATCTAAATTGATCTTCTTTTTGTAATCGGCAATGGAAATTATCTTTTGTGAATGTTCGAGCCCTTTCTCTATCAAATTGTTCAACAATATCTTGCATAAAAAGATTTCGTTCCAAAACTTTTTTAGCCTAAAAAATATGAAATTGCTAATCTCTTTGATTTTTTCGAATTGATTATAAACTTTCAATACAATATTTGATCAACAACTTTTTATCCAAAGAATAATTAGTGGAGATAAACTAAAAGCTATTTCTGTAGTGTTTGTTTAAATTGCACATTTTGTTTCGTTTAATTATTTGTTTTGAAGATATTTCTATCAATATTAATAGTATAAGCTATGATCCTTAACAATTCAAACGTCTTCTATAGGTGAACGTAAAAATATTAAGAAAGACATTTTAATGACCTGAATTCAGTCGTATTCCCAGAATATATACATGGTATACTGATTTTTTCCCAACAGTTTTATTAACGTCAAGCAACTTGGTGTAAAGACAATAAATAAAAAATAATATAAAAAAACACACAATCATTTAGCTATGCACAATCGTTACCGACCAAAGTGCATATCTAGTCAAAATTATATCAGAGTTCTCCTCTCATCATTTGTCTCTACTGCTCAATCGTCTTCAATGTCCTCCACTGTACAACATCAAAAGCAAACCTCCAAATATGTCTAACCATTGACTTATTTTCGTCATCTGCCTCTGCTTATCAGCATCAGAAAATGTCAAGAAACAAGTCTCCAAAAAGGAGAGTAATGTTTAATAATTGACTGTTTTCATCATCTGCTTCGGCCTATCATTCATCTTCAGACTATACGAATAATTAAATCATCTTTCGCAGAGAAACATGGCAGTGTACAGGCAAATGATCAGCCATGTGTAGAAAATATTCCGTTATACAAGTATAACGCAACACAATTCAACTACAATAACTTCTTTAGCCTTTCTCCTATTAATCATGAAAACCAATCATTGAGGATCAATGTATCGGCCATGTCTAAAAAAAAAGAATGCTTTAAATATTTCTGCAGTTTCCCTAAAAATTCTTAAATGTACTTACTTTGATGATAATGAATTTGAAATTCTTGAAAACTAAGGACAATAGTGGATGCACGCAGGGACTGGTGCTTGCACACAAAATCACCCTTGCAGGACCTGCATGGATACAAGTGGAGCCACCATTGGACGATTGATGGGCACATGCAAACCACCATATGAGGAACCTGAGTGAAAGTATGCAAGCCACCATTGTTCAACTTGAGTTAACGCATGCAGAGCCACTATTAAGAGATTTAATACTAATAACAGGACTGGTGAACTCATACAGAGACAATCACCTTTATCGAACCTAGGTGGCTGCATGCAGAACGGTTTGGAAGGACGCATGCTGGACGAAATCTAGAGGGATTCACTCGACGTATAAAGGATCGTCCGTAAATTCTTTCAACAGGACAGGTACTAATGAGAGAATTAAGCATTATTGAATGCTTGCTTGGCCAATTATTTCAATTTCATTGATTCTCAGAGTAGAGGGTATATGGCTACAAATAAAGTATATTAGTTCCAAACAATGATACTTACATGTAAACTTAAGTTTATCTTCTATCCTTTCAATTTTTATATAAGAAAAAGTTATAATTGAGATTTTTACAGTTTGTCAAAAGGAATTACCTGTCTTCTTTCTTGAAACTTGAATATTACTACAAATGTATAAAAGGTGTTATGTAATCACAACAATTAGCAGGAAGGGCTATGGTACCGCAGCCATACACTTACCAAACTTTAACAAATGAGAATAAATTACATTTGTAAAGTAATCTAAACTATTTAAGCGGTTTAAAACGAATACTTTTATCATTTGAAATTTGAGATGTTTAGAGAAAATTATAGATAAGCCGCAATTTATCTAAAAGTTGATATAAGTAATATCAAGTTGTTTCCAACTTGCAGATGGTTGATATTTTAAAAGTTGTAAATTCGGTAGGTATATGAAATATTTTAGTTTAAAGTTTCCTTGATCGACAAAATGTCTTTAGTACAATCCACTAAAGAGAATCAGTAAACTTTGGACAATAATTAGAGGGTATTTTCAATAAAGAAAGAATTTTGATAGATGCCTCAAAGTATCGATACTCAGTATAGGTTGGCAGGCATCTTCTAACTTGATCACGCATTCGTAATCTCTAAAACATAGTGTACAAACTCAATTTTGTCAGATGAACCGCTAAGATAAAGGCACCAGATTTGTTAATTATTATTGGTTGAAGCATAAACACCATTGTAAATATACAACGTAGGATAACGTTATTTCGACCGACACTCTTTACCAATTTTCTCAATTCATAAAGCCCCAAAATATTTAATTTCAACTACCTCCAGCAGTCAAAACTAAAGTCACATTCGCAAAAAGCGCTTATTAACGTTATTGATATTAGCGTATCATCCAATTTCGAATTTGTAGTATTATAATCATTGGTTACATTTTATTGATCAATAAAATGATGATCCTGTCCCGAAAGAACGTTAATGATTTGCTTTATTGATAGAGAAAGCATAGTTCCAATTCCATCATAGTAAAAATTAACGTTTAGCTAATAATCCTGAATCTGTGCACTTCCGTTTTAAAGTTACTTTCATTTTGTTCAATTGCTCGCTCAAAAATAGAAAAGTGTTACAGATTTCCCCCACAATAGTCTTTGAGAATATAACAAAAAAACGCTCTTAGAAATGATCGCGCATTATCAGTCAATTCGAGACTTTCGAGTCTTGTATATCGTAGCTACTTCAACCGAACCGAGTTAACTCAGCAGAACCGTAAGCGGTTTACACAAGGTAAAAAAAATGCGATATTGCAATAAAAACCAAAATCAAATGTTACGCGGCGAAAATCAAACCTCCTCGCGGTGGTCACAAGACCTTAAAGCGAACTTGCCGGAGATGTTAGACGCGTTAAACTTTGACAGTTTAAATATGTCATTCTTTGCGGAAATAAGGGGAATACTGAAAAAAATAATAAACAATTAATCAGTTGTATTTGTAATTAAAATTAACTTGTTTATACTTACTTTCAAACGTGTTGAAATTGTGCCGAGTTAGCGCAATACTGAAAATTAGGAAAATATATTGCAATTTTTACATCTCAACAATATACAATTCTTACCAAAGCAAATAAGCGGATTCCGTTGTCTTTGTTATAAAAAAAGCGCCATAGTTTAGTTGTCTTTTTTTGCGGAAAAGCGAAAAAGCGAAGCGATAAACGTATGTATTCGCGCCATCTTTAAATGCTACGTGTCGATGAAAACAGGTAAAGATTTACTATTTCGTTTACCTTGGCTACGGAATATAGTATGAATACTTCGCCAAACAATATACTTTTTTCGTAATTGTTCAGTGTATCTAGCAATTGAATAATCGGTTCATCTGATTTCGAAGAAAATTTGTTTGAAAACATTGAAAGAATTGAAAAAGCATTAAATATTCAAGAATATTTACCACAGTTAATTGTAATACTAATTATGGTATAGTTATGGATCTATACGCCTGAAATAAAACAGATAATTCCCTTTGTCCTTTATTTGATTGTAAATAACGAATGCAGAAATCTAAAGAATTAAAGTCTTTCCACAGCTTTCATAAGAAAAGAAAAATTAAAGTCAAAGCAATAATGAACAAACATCTTTTCTACGGATAACTTAGAACATAACAATCAACTCTACCAAGCTTTTTAGTGAGACATGCTACTTGTGTTTCTGTCAGTATTATCAGATATCAAACATAGCAATGTTTGGGTTGCAAAAGAAATAATTTTAAGAAAAACCCGTTTCTTTTCCAATAAAGCTTAATCCTGTACATAATTTATTTACGATAAGGTAAATTTAAACCGATTAACAATAAATAGATTTGATTGAACGATTGGAAGGTCTCAATCAGAAGCTTTAGTTGAGAAATTTAACTAAAATCTTTTCAAATTTTGGCGGGACGAAATAGCAGATTTATACCGGTTTTTTGGACACGTGACGAAACGATCAGTGAACATGTGTTTCACTTTGCTTCTTAGCTTTTCCCCAAAAAAGGCTTTTAAATTCTAACACTATCCGATTAGGACAGTGAAATGAGTTTATTTGCATTGCTAAGAATAATTTGTTTTAAAAGGAAAGATTAAAATTAATGAACCTTTCCATAGAGACACATTCGATGTCTCGAGAAATTTTCAACGAG